GGGAGAGAATATTTCCTCCTTTGAACACACAACCATTTTCAACGCTCCAGAGTACTTTGCCCAACTTCTTAGGTACCTGAATACTTTTTAAAGGCTTCCAACTTCACCTGGGGGGTGGAAGAAATTTTCAGAGGCTTGAATACTTCTTGTGAGCCTAGAACCTTCCCCTAAGCCTTTGCAGCTGTGTAGGCTTCACCTGTGGGCAATGGGGAGCCTTTACAGAGAGCTCCTGGGAGAGAATATTTACTCCTTCGAACACACGACCATTTTCAACGCTCCAGAGTACCTTGCCCAACTTCTTAGGTACCTGAATACCCTTTAAAGGCTTTTTCTTGGCCTCTAAATCTTTCCTGTTTTTTTTTTTTTTTTTTTCAAATGGTTGAAAACCACGAGAAATGATATTCTTAGTTAAAGTATCAATATAGGACAACCTTAACAAATTCTTACTCTCGCGGGTGTTCGGCTGGAGTTTCCCGGTCGGTGCAGAGTCTTTTTTCGCGGAGTCTCTATTCGCCTCAGCGATTTTCCCTGGTGCCGGCCGGTCATAACATTTTTTATTCGCGCCATCATTTCCTCCTTTTTTCGCCCGCTCCGAAGTCGCTACGCAGTCGCCTTTTTGCCTTTTTTTTTATTATATTTTTGCGATCACCAGGTCAATCCATGGCTACTGGCGATGCCCGTTTTTTTACTTTGGGGGTGCTGCACTGTTGTTGCCCATCATTTTTGCCCGTGCTCGCTTCATTTTCCAACACGACCAAATCTGGTGTCCGGCTACACTGGAAAGTTCGCACTTCTCGGATTTTGCTGACCGCGGCTTGGCATCGATTTTGTCGATGTCCATCGGGTCGGGGATCGTGGCGGGTGCCAATCGCTCCATGTTGAAAGTCCAGTTCGGCACGTGGCGTCATGTATCGGGCTGACCACGCATCAGCGCATCGTATCGCTATGCTAGACACACCATGTCGCAGTAGTTACCGTAGTTAGTGGCGATCACTAGTCGTCGTATCTCCACTTTTAGCACCTCAGTATACGCTTGCAGTTTTTCTCCTTTGGTCAGGCCGATTAAATAACTGCTCCATCTGCTGCGTGTACTAGGCTACACATCCGTAATGTTTGTGCCGATGAATCTGCTGCCGCGCCATGTAGCTCGAATTAATGGGTTCCAAACGCGCGATTGATTCTGCCCAAAACTGTGTCCACGATCCCTCGCCTCGGACCACGTTCCTGTAGTACACCCACGCCGGGCCTCGCAATAGTGTCGCTGCGAGCCGAATCCTTGCTGCGTCATGGGTCGGGGTCGTACAGCCAATGAACTCGAAGTAAATTTCGAGTGTAGCCACAAATTGTCGAACGTCCGATCCCTTCACGCTCGGATTGAACGCTTCCAGGAGCCTCGGACGAGCTGCCTCGAGATTCGCCGAAGTCGGTGCCACTGCTGCGGGAAAAGTTGGTGTCGCCGCTGCTGAAGCTGCCGTCGCTGCTGCATTTGCTGCTGCCTTTGCTGCTGCCGTGGCGGCTGCCGACTGGTTCGCGAGAAGCTCCTCTATTCGTTTGAGTGTCGCTCGCGTCTGGTCCAAAAAAAAAAAAGGGTTGCGACTTCTTGTACGAAGTTGTTGCCAGTGCCCTCCATTCTGGACATCACGTCCGAAAACCGAAATCGAGGGGGAATTCAAAAAACACGGAACCGGTTTTTACGTACGCGAAATCGTTGTTTTATCATTCGTCGCCCCCGTAGTTGTTCTAAGACTGGTTTTTAGCGGTTGAAGAAATTCGCGTGCAATTGAGCTCTGAGACCAAGTGTGAAGATCGATAGGATTGAGTCCAGAAAATAGATTTGTATTGAATGATGCACCTGGGTACAACTTGAGGCTATATATAGTCTCGACACAAGGCCAGTAACCCAGGTGTTACGCAAAAGTTTTGATGTCCGCGAAGTGTCCCGAATAGAGACTTCCTGAATTCGGTAGAAGGCAATTTGGTGGCAACCGAAAAGCCTAAAATTTTGTGCACGCAACCTGGTTCGGTGCTATAACTAAAATAAAATGTAGGAAAACACCTAACCTAGGAAATCAAGCAAAAGCATGCATGAAGATAGAATAACCCTAAGCTAGAAATAGCAAAATAAAGTCAAGGCAAGCAAGCAAAGCTAGCATAAGCTGTCGTACGCTCACACTTAAGTTACCAAGTCCATGAGATGGGAAGGCATTGCAGCAGTGGAAGCGGCAACAGTGAGGAAGTTGCTCTCAATCTTAGTGATCGTGGACTCAAGAAGATCGATAGTGAGCTAAGTGGGGTGCTTCAGGAGAAGCGCATCGTGGGCAGAGGAGAGACGGTCAGGGAGGCGAGTGACTAACCAGTGAGTGAAGGGTGAGCCTCATAGGCGGTGGGGCAAGTTTGAGCTGTTGCTCAGTGCAGGCGGCACGAAAGCTAGTGTTAAGCGAATGGAGGCAGGTGACCAGATCGCAGACGGTCTCAAACGAGCCCAAGTCAAGGAACACAAAGTGCATGAGGAGGCGGCAGAATGAGGTAGAGGTAGGGGTGGAGCAACGAGCAACAGTAGCGTCGTTTAGGACCTTTGCCGAGTCACACTGGGAGAAGCGAATGGCCTCGGTTGGCGGGAGAAGGTCGGTGAGGGCGTTGCACGCAGCGGCGTCGCGAGACTCCTAGACGTCACGCGCAAAGAACAGCCTATCGTACTCAGCATGCTGATCAGTGGTGGGAGTAGTCTCAGCGGGCAGGGGAATAGGTTGCGGAGGGGCCTGGAATATGCCAGACGCGTGAGCAAAGAGGTTGGCTAAGGTGTCGTTGGGCATGGGTAAGCTAAGTGCTAAAGTTTATCAGTTGGCCCTCAGCGTCGAAACGTAACATTCGAGAGGACCCCATCCTTAAACATTAGGAGCGATGGTAGGCATTAGCGAACTGAACGAGACACGCCACGCTAGCTATGTCAGAGGGACTAGGCTAGGAGCGTTAGGATGAACGTGGCAACGGTGGGATATGAGGAACCCTCCGCCGTTATGGTCATGGCGTGGAAGGGTTGGAGGAAGTCGCGGAGCTCCTCCAAGGCCAGCCACATCTCAGCATTGATAGTGAGGTCCTGCACGCAGGTTGTATCCTATACGTTCATGCCCTATTAGGGCGTGAGGTGCGGGAGTGGTTGGGTGTCAGGCAAATCTATCAAGGACAATGACACTTGGGAACGGCAATGGGAAATAAATTCTATGGCATTGTCAAACAAAAAAATGGGGTGGAGTGCAATCAAATGCCCATCATGCTCATCTTGGCTTGCCGAATGTAGTTGATGATGATGTGTTTAAGACGGATTGTGTGCTCGAGCATGAGGTAGTTCGAGCCCCAGCGCACTTCGTTGTCCTGGCGAAGACGCAACAACTTTGACTTCGCGTTCTTCCCCCTCTGTGCCACCTCGAAGAGGTGGGCGAGTACCCAATGGGCGAGTACCCAATGAAAGAGGCAAGGTTCCGAAGGAGGTCAAGAGGCTCCTTGATATCCAGCACCTTCTTCAATGCTAGTTGGACAGATAGGTTGCAGATGTGGGCAAGACACATGGAACGAAGGTTGGCATGGCATATTCACACCACAAGAGAAGGAGGCATGGATTTGGGTCAACAAAAGACACATTATAGTGGAAGACATATTAGACAGTTCGTAAAGACAAGACAATATGGGTTGGTTTAGGGTTGGGTGGGTTGGTGCAAGGAGTCATTGTACCACACGTGCATCTCCGAAAGGAACAAGGGAGGTTGGCGGTCGCCCGACCTACCACGACAAAGGGCTCCATTGCTATGACGTTGGACGAGGCGTTGTCCGACGTCACTGCAATGTAGCGGTCCTCCAGGCCCCACTCCTCTACCACCTCCTCTACCACCTCCTCCAACACCTCTGCATTTTTTCTGACTAGTGTGGTTGCCCGGAAGTGCTATAAAATCTAGTGTTACCTACCGCAACTCGAAATTAGCTGTGCTGGAATGGCTCGTTACTACCTTATAGGACTTGTGGTTCTCACTGGTCCTGCTTGAGCTTGTTCCGACACAGATGTGCCAAGCGGATGATCTGGTGGGCTAGAGATGGATCTTTCATCCACACATGAGAAATTGGCAGCGATTATTAATTGCTGAAACTGCGCACGATGGGATAGTAGAAGACGTAGAATACACAAACACATACATATGGTGGGTTTGGCAGCATTATTGGGGGTGAGGGCCAAGTGCTAGAGCGCGGAGCTGCAGATGCTGTGCTGGTATGGCACCCAGCTACAGCACGAGTAGCAACAACACCGTCATGATGAGAAGCAGCAGCAACATCAGTGTGATCACTATGGAACTGTCAGAATAACATTCTGATTTGGACATACACGACGATGTGGGAAGGCATGGAAAGCAGACTTACAGTGTGGTGTTCAATGACGGTAAAGGCCTGGTCAGTCACCACGACAAACTCCACAATGGACTGCTGCATGATGTCCTTGTTGAAACGCTCGAGGTAGTACTTGGTTAGATATTGCTGCCCTGTCCTTACTGTCACACCCGTCAGTGGGCGGCGTCCGGCCATGTGGCTGAACCCTCCCACACAACTATCCCATCCGAAACCTCCTTGTCCATTCCATACGCCCCTACAAGGAAGTAGTCGTCCGGGCCCACCTCCCCTACATTGAACTTCCGCAGCCATATGGCGTAGTGATGCTTATGCTGCCCCACTGTGTGGGCCTTACCAGTATAACCATTGCACAGTACAAAGGATATAGCCTTATTGTAATTGTGACAGCGGTGCCTCTCCTTGCTGTTGCCAGAATTCCTCAAAACAACGGGTCACTAACCCATCACGGCTACTCTAGTGGTCGCGTAAACAGGCTGTGCAGAGGCTGTAGTTGGCGTAGTCACAACTACTTCCTCACCCTCTGCAAACATCCGATCCTGCGACCCAACCTTGCATCTCGTCCCCCTCCCTCTCCCTCGCCCACCCCCTCTCCCCCGTCCACCACCATGCCCCTTGCCACCTCGTCCGGATGTCTTGTTTCCCTTCGCATCCCCACCCCGCTTCTGCTTGTTTCCCTTCCCTCCGTCCATATCATCCACCCCTTTGTCAACCAAGTCGACGAAGTCCTCAACCATGTCGCCATCTGCCTCCTCCCCTTCTATGGTGTACACCTCTTCTCCGGAGTTGTCATCGCATCCACCATCGTCCTACCCATCCTCATCTTTATTCCCATCAACTTCTTCCTCCTCCTCATCCTCGTCCACCTCCCCATCCTCCTCAACATCCGCCTCACCCCCCTCTCCCTCATCCCCCTCCATCCCCTCCATCCCCTAAGCATGCTCACATTTCCCCTTCGTAAAATGGCCATCATCTCCCATTCAGTAGAGTGCATTGTCGTCCCCATCATCACTATTTACTTGATCGCGGAACTCCACCCCATACTCCACCGCATTTACTTTTCCTCTCTCCGATCCCCACCAGATTTGCCAACCCCTCCACCCTTTGCGTTGATAATTCCGCCAGCTGCTGCATTAGTGACGTGCTGTCGGCCTACCTTCGCAGTCACCGACTTCAGGTGGCGTTGTTCCTTCGTCGTCAGGCCGCTGGAGAATCGCCAACCTTGCCCTTACCACGACCTCTCCCACAGCCACGACCACCCGACTCTCCCTTTTTCTTTAAAGCCATTTACTTATCTCGCGCCATCGTTATTGATGTAACATTGTTTACCTAAGCTTCTTTGGTAAAACCGTTACAACAATTTATACTGAGAATAACACGAGCTAGCAATGTCACCACATAACCAGTTGTGAGTACTATGGCGGGAAACCTACATTACGATTAAAAGAGACGCATTGACATTGAGCTCTTAGTTGTAAACAACCGGTGGTGTAGGGTTGGCAAAACCTCATAAAATTGGTCGAGAATAATCGCGGATTTCATATTTGTGCCCAAACTTTTCCGCCAATTTGACCCCATGGATTACCGGACGAGTATCGTGCATGCTCGTCGAGTTTAAAATACCCGACGTGCACAAAAGAATCGTAAAAAATGCCTGTCTGAATGGCGAGCAAAAAAAACCTCGGCGATTAAAACCTCGGCTCGATTCGGCCGAGTATTTTTTCAAAAAAACAAAAACACACACACACACAAAAAAAAAACAAACAATTTTGTTACTCGGCCCCAACGAGTAACTCGAATGAGTCGAGGCGAATGATTCGCCTCGACGCCCATGTATACTTATCCATCTGCTCGAGAAAATGGTTTTTCCTGCCCGCCCAACAAATTTTGACGTATTTCCAGTATTCGAAAAGGGCGTATGGCATATATATGCTATCATATCATACGCTAGCGTAGGATATGCGAAAGACGTATGTGCCAACTTAGCGTGACCCATCTTCTGGAACTTACAGAAGCAAGAGCTCATTGCCATTTCTCTAGCCGAAGCTTAATTCATCACTGCAAGTGCAACAGTTTGCGATAGGGCACCTGATGGAGCTCCTGCAAGAAACGCAAGTCATGATGGATGGGTCATTCAAGTTACTATGCGACAACCAAAGTGCGACCAAAATCGCGAACAAACCTGGGTTCGTCAACCGCACAAAACATATCGCTCTCCGTTACTTCTTCGTGAAGGACAGAATCGACAAGAGCAAGGTCAAGCTTACCTATTTTCCAACTGGCAAAATGGCAGCAGACCGTTTGACAAAGAATCTGTCACTTTAGAAGAAGTACTGTGTGGGCCTGTGCGGATTCGTCAAGAAGTCCCACGTGACACACCTAGGCATGAAAAGGAGTGTTGGAATAACCAAAGGATATTTCAACATTCCGGAAGGTGCAATAATCTGCTCCTAGCAAAGCAACACCTGTATCACTACCGTGTCGGCTCATATAGAGCACCGAGGTCGTTAATCGTGAGTCAACACTCGCGAATGTTGACTGACCTAGACCAAGAGGTTGCAAACTATATTGCAGATCGCAACCGCCTCTGAGGTTTCGCACTGCAACGAGGTAACCGAAGGGATCGCAATAGTCATTGCAACTGTAGCGATACATATATTACCGTTAATAAGGGAATGTACTCTTTAGAGTACATGGCTAACTAGGACTAGAACAATATCATTTAGTTATTCTAACATTATTCATACTCGAGCTCTCTATTCCCCTCTCATGCCTTCTCATCCCCTTTCATGCTCTCTTGTCCCCTCTGCTACCCTAACTTTCCTCTCATTTTCTCCTACCCACTCCCATCCCCGTTCATCCTCTTTCACCCACTCTCAACCCTTCCCATCCCCCTAACTCCTTTCCCCCTCCCCTCCCCTCCTATCCCTTAGTCCTTGCTCATTCCCTCTCTTCCAGTTTTCCCTCTAATTCCCTCTCTTAACCTTGCCATCCACTTCCATCCCCCCTCATCCCCTATCTTACCCCCCGTTCACTCACTTCTCCCCTATCCACTCTTATCCACTCTCGTCCACTCTCATCCACTCCCCTCTCATCCCCACTCATCCGCACTCATCCACTCTCGTCCAATCTCATCCCCTCTCATCCCCTCTCATCCCCTCTCATCCCCTCTCATCCCCTCTCATCCCCTCCCATCCACTCTCATCCACTCTCACCAACTTTCTTCCATTCTCATCCACTCTCATCCACTCCCATCCCCTCCCATCCCCTCCTATCCACTTTCATCCCCTCTCATCCCATCTCATCCACTCTCATCCACTCTCATCCACTCTCAACCACTCTCAACCACTCTCATCCCCTGTCATCCACTCTCTGCCACTCTCTGCCCCTCTCATCCTTTCTCATCCACTCTCATCCCCTCTCATCCACTCTCATCCCCTCCCATCCCCTCCATCCCCTCTCATCCCCTCTCATCCCCTCTCATCCACTCTCAACCACTCTGATCCATTCTTATCCACTCTCATCCCCTCCCATCGCCTCCGATCCCCTCATCCCTTTCATCCCCTCTCATCCACTCTCATCCTCTCATCCCCTCTCATCCACTCGCTTTCCTTCCCATTCCTTCTCATCCTCTTGTAACAACTCTAAACCCCCCCTTCCTCATTGCTCATTTTCCCCTCGTTCTTGCCCTTTAATTCCCTTTTATCCCACTTCATCCTCTCTCATCCTCTCTCATCCCCTCTCCTCACTATTCCCCTTCCGTTCCCTCATACCCCCTTTCTTCCTCTCTCGTCTACTCTTCTTCCCCCCCCCCCCCCCCCCCTCCTTTCTTGCCCCCCCTCCGGCCATTGTTCGCCTCCAAGGGCCTATCAACCCCGCATCTCCTCCCATCCTCAACCCATCCACTTTGGTGCCCTCTATTCTACACTTAATCTTTGCTTGTCATGTCATTCTTTCTTGTCTCCTCTGGCCTTTAAGTAATGCTAGGCACTCGATTTGCCCCCTTACGTATTCTCCCATGGACCTACTACACTCTCTATCGGCCTATACTTATCCACCAGCAGAGTTTGTGTTGCTGTGAGGAACATCATGCTTCGCATCCTATATTTACAGTGAGAGTTTGATGCTGAATAGACATGTTCATCGTCAAACAAGCTTAAACATGGTCAATTTCATCCATACTCATTTGCAAACAACAATTATATACAAGAACATGCAAACTTCCGTAGAATATCCCTCCCCCTTTTTTCTTTTGGCCATGAAGATGACGCTATCAACATTTACAAAAGGAAGCTCTACCCAACTGCTGTAACAACAACAGAGGAAGTGCGGTTGTATTGTCAGAAGCATATGTTTGCCCCTAATTCAACTATAAACCCTAAACCCTAAACCTGAAACAGCTCATTGAGGTGTGATGCAAGTCCATGCAGGGCTTGGTCTAGTGAGGAGGTCCATATTGGAGAGGGGGTGTGTCCATTCCGTGTTGTCATACAAAGACCAAGTTATAGTAACATGCGGGTCGCGGTGGCTACTTTGGTTCACGCCAATCGGTGACCGATGCGAAAAGAATTCAGAGGGATGGGGTGAAAGAGGTTGCGCATGAGATGCTAAAGCATGGTATTGTGAAAGTTTACTTAGACCAATTTGCAAAGGGAGCGTTATCATTTCATATAAAGGCAGCGTTATCATTTCATATCGGTTGTAGTACATCGTTATCGTCATATGTATGTCTACATAACAGCATACACAAATGGGTGGGCGGGTGGGAAGTAAGAACTACAATTTCGGAAATGAAAACGTGGGTGGGGACGAATGTCCCCACGTCCCTCTTTTGTAGGCAAAAGAGGGTGAGTAGCGCTTCGGCGCTACCTTTGCTGTGCTGGCCACGTACCCCTTTTCACAATACATTTTTTTAGAAAGTGTTACATTTCATTACACTTTCAAAAATTATCATATTGTGAAAGTGTACTTAGGCCAACTTGCAAAGGCAACGTTATCATTTCATATGGGTCTTCTGAGGCAGGTGCAGTCAGGGCTTGCGGTCCCATTCGATTGATAGCTGATGTGTGGCAGGTGGAGGAGCCGTCGAAGGATCCCGCAACTGCGTGGAGAGGGATATGAGTTGATCCTGTGCGATTGTAACGTACATCTCCTTTGCGTTGTCGCTGCGTCAACGGCCCATGCGTTTGAAGAGCCAGTCAGGAACTCTGAGGCTTGCCGCCACAGTGGCTGCACCTTTGCGGAAGGAGTGGGTTCTTATGTGTGCGACATCCACTCCAGCCTGCCTGCCGGCCACGAGACACAAGTTTCCGAACTCGCAGGCCTAACAAAGACGCCACATGGACCACTGATAAGGGTTATCAGTGGTCCATGTGGCGTCTTTGTTAGGCCTGCGATGTGTATGAATTTGCGTGTACACCTCACAGGGCAGTATGGGCCTGAAATTGCCGCCACTGGGATCCAGACACCCCTCCCTTCCTGGTCCGTCTTGGAGTGCGGGATGAGCAGCCACATTGCCTTCTCCTCGAACTGTACATCATTCCATTAGAGCGATTTGAGGCCAGAGTAGCGCAAGAATGCCGAAAACATGAGAAGAGGAATCAATCCTTTCTGGTATTCCACAGGAAACGATGATTCGAGGTAAGGACGGGCCATGTCGTGCACTTAATGGAGAGATATGGGTTCTTTGGTCCTTGCAGGCCAGGGATCTTGTTTCTTGGCAAACTCCCGCGCTTGCAGGGTGAATGGTCCAACAGTAGGGGAGGCTTTGCCTGTCATGCGGTGGGCAAAGGCTATAGCCGAATATGTGAGGTTGATCTCAAAGAGGGTTGCCTTTTTGTTGAGCGCATAGATGAGATACAGCGCTAGCGTCAGGTCGGTTGCCGGTAGGAACTCGAGCTTAACTTGGGTACAGAAGACGAGCGAGTAGAACGCCAAGAAACAGAGGCGGAGCGAAGGCTAAAGGTGTAACCGTGTGACGACCGCTGCGTAGCCAGGTCATCAACCCAAGAGGCGTCTGAGTGTCCAGTGAGGACAACTGGACCCTGTCCTCCAAGCACGAGCCCCATGCCTGATGTACTGCACAAGTAGCGCAGCACCCTCTTAGCAGCCTCCCAGTGCTCTCGCCGGTGTCTCCCGGGCGCAACGTAGCGAGCCAGGATGCTAAGAGGGTACGCAAGGTCAGGTCGAGTGCAGGTCATCAGGTACATGAGGCAGCCCACAAGCTCTGGATACGGGCCACTCGGCTCTACGAACTCGTCCGAAGGTGGAGCTGAGAGCGAGTGACCGGTAGGCAGAGGAGTGGACTGTGGCAAGGAGAACTGGAAGCCGAAACGCTGAAGGACCTGCTGCACCATGTGTGACCGAGTCAAGGTGATGGTGCGCCGTGCTCTGTCCAGGGTGATCTGCAAGCCAAGGTAGCTGCGCAGCTTACCAAGATCTGTGCACGTGTGTCTCTTCTGCAGCTCCGACTTCACAAGGGTGAGTGCCTCAGTGTCAGCAGTGGCAAAAACCAAGTCGTCAACGTACACGAGGATGTAGAACGGCGGCAGCGAAGTGTCTGTGCGCAGAAACAGCGACGGGTCAGCAGTCGAAGGAGCAAACCTGAGGGTTGCAAGTGTTGTCCTCGGTGTGTCGTGCCACTCACGAGGCGCCTGGCGGAGACCGTAGACTGGCCGCCGGAGGCTCCACTGGGTACCTGCAGGAAACGACCCAGTGAAGCCAGGTGGGCGGCGCAGCCAGATCTCCTCGTGTAGGTTGCCCTGTAAGAAAGTTGTGCTGAAGTCTAGAGAGTGAAGCTCGTAGTCACGCTGAGCGGCAATGTGCAGCAGCACCTGAAGAGTGGTCATCTTCGGGGTAGGGGAGAAGGTCTGGAAAAAGTCAACTCCCTGTCGCTGACTGAAGCCTCGAGCAACGTAACGAGCCTTGAAGACGGGCGGAGAACCTGGCGGCCGCTTCACCCTGAAAATCCACATGCCATCGAATATGTTCGCCCGAGGAGGGGGAACTGCGTCGACGTAAGTGCCTGTGGACTTCCAGGATGCCATCTCTGCGTCCATGGCTGTCTGCCACTTAGAGGAGTAGGGGCCCGAAATTGCCTCTGCTTAAGAGCGCGGGGTCGGGATGTCCAGTGCATCCGGGTCTCCCTCAGGTGCAAGCAGCATGGCCACGAGATGAGGCACAGCAGCCGCAAGACACTCAATGTCCTCCTGCCTGTCCTCAAGAACGTCCGTGCCAAGAGCACACTCACCCCCGACGGACGGAGGACAGACAGACTCAGACTCAGCAATAAGACTAGCGGCGTAGTCTAAACGACACACAGCAGCGAAGTCCACAAGCTCAGCAACTAAGGCAGACGCAGCAGTAGACTCAAACGACGGGTCAGTGACGACTGTGGCCAGGAGACGCGTGACAGTGGGGCTGGCAGCACGAACCAAGTCAGACTCAGGGTCCGGGGCGTGAGAAAGAGAGGAAGCAGAAGGAGAAGGGGACATGCTGCGGAACAGAGGAAGGACGAAGTGTCATAGTGTGAGTACCTCGCACAGGAGGAGGACGCGGACGAGGGACACGACGAGCACGGCGAACAGTGCAAACAGGGGAGGCAGGACGAGACGCAGGCTCACGATGCTCTGTAAGGGAGACTGGCTGCTCAGTGTAACGAGGGCGGGCAGGTAGCAATGAGTCTGTAGGAAGGGCAGTGGACGAAGGAAGACTAAGAACCAAACAGAGCACACACTCGGGCGGGAGTGTGGACAGCTGCTGCGGCGGCAAGAAAAACGGGCACTGATGCACAGGGCCCCCAGCTCCAGCACCTCCAGCGCCAGCGCCTCAAGCTTGAGTACCTCCAGCGCCAATGCCTCCAGGTTCAGCGCCTCAAGCCCCAGTGCCTCCAGCTCCAGCGCCTCCAGCTCCAGCACCACGACTTCGAAGGCGGGTATGCCGAGCGAACCACTCGCGCAGCTGCTGTGGGGAGAGAGGCTCCACAGTGCCTCCAGCACCAGTGCCTCCAGGACTAGCAACCCCAGTACCACCAGTACCTCTAGCTCCAATACCTCCAGCGTTAGCGCCTCCAGCTCGAGGGCCTCCAGCTCCAGCGCCTCCAGCTCCAGCACCTCCAGCTCCAGCGTGTGCATCTCCAGCACCTCCAGCTCCAGTGCCTCCAGCGCCAGCGCCTCCAGCTCCAGTGCCTCCAGCGCCAATGCCTGCAGCTCCTGTGCCTCCAGCTCCCGTAGCGCGACTCCTAAGGCGGGTGCGCCGAGCAAACCACTCGCGCAGCTGCTGGGGCGAGAGAGGCTCTCACTGGTTAGACCCGCTGCAGCAAGGTACCCAGAGCACTACCTGCAAATGCAGCACCCCCAGGCTCAGTACCCCTAGGCTCAGCACCCCCAGGCTCAGCACCTCCAGGCTCAGCACCCCCAAACGGAGCACCCCCAGGCTCCGTACGCATAGGCTCAGCACCCCCAGGCTCCACGCGCTCAGGCTCAGCACTCCCAGGCTCCGCACG